CCTTGGCTTAATGCCTCTCTGTGCAATTTCTGATCATTTGATCTCAAAGAAATAGTGAATGAAAAGAAGGAAACCAGAGCAGCTGCAGATGTGATGGCTTAGTTGAGCTGGGTTGTGACCCAATAACTGGCCAAGTGATATCCAGCCAAAGTGAAGCATATTCAGCCGGCCTTGATTCAAGCCTGCATTTTTTAACCCTCCTATTGGAACAAATAATACTTACCCGTATTTTTTGCACCGTAACACTCACTTTTTTCCTCCTAGAAAGTAAGGGGAAATGTCTGTGCGTGTTATGGAGCGAATGCCTGCGGGTGGCGGGGGGGATCTGCTGCAGTCGTGAGCAGAGGATCCATGGTTCCCCTTCCTTCCCTCCTCCGTGGTTACAAAGCATGGATCCACATGGATCCTCAGGATTTTTGCATTGGGCTACTCCAAACTCACTGTCAGATCACATGTCTGTGGCCATAGCATGAACCACAAAAATCATATATCCACTATTTCGTTTAGAATATTTTTTTTCTTGTTTTCCTCCTCTAAAAACTACGTGCGTGTTATGGTCTGGTGCGTGTTATAGAGCGAAAAATACGGTAAATGTACCTGCCTTTTGTTGGATTATGCCCACTGAACTACATGTTGTATCAAGGATGGGGAACCTGCGGCCTTCCAGATATTAGACTCCAGCCTCTGTTACCCCTGACTGTTGATCATTGTGACAGAGGGCAGTGTTGTCAGTGTCGTGCCCAGACTGATGTCACACAAGTGGCACCCTTTCTTGAAAACTGGATCTCTCCCCCTTTGCCCAGTTGGATGGGATGTAGTACTAAATGACTGATGTATGGAAGTGAGAGCTGGACCATAAAGAAGGCTGATTGCTGAAGAATTGATGCTTTTGTTTGTTTTTTTATAAGATATTTATTAAGATTTTTTAAATATTACAATAAAAAATGAAAAAGAAAAAGAAAATACAAAATAAAAATGATTAAAAACCACTCAGTTTTTCCATTGCTTATTTTTCCTTAGCTTGTTTCCCGGACCTCCTCATACCTCCCTTTTTTGTATTCCAGTTCAGTTTGTTGGTTCAGCAAATCCTTACCCTCTTTATTTATCCTAATCTTTGGTCTTAAAATAGTAACGTTAGATTTTTACCTCTTAACAACCCATTTTTCATATTCCCTTAAAGCATTACAGCTGGAAACCACTTAATTTCTATCCAACATCATTCTAACATTCATTAATTTTACAATATTTCTGTAGATAATCTTTGAACTTCTTCCAATCTTCTTCCACCGACTCTTCTCCCTGGTCTCGGATTCTGCCAGTCATTTCTGCCAGTTCCATATAGTCCATCAAGAATTGATGCTTTTGAATTATGGTGTTGGAGGAGACTCTTGAGAGTCCCATGGACTGCAAGAAGATCAAACCTCTCCATTCTGAAGGAAATCAGCCCTGAGTGCTCACCGGAAGGACAGATCCTGAAGCTGAGGCTCCAATACTTTGGCCACCTCATGAGAAGGGAAGACTCCCTGGAAAAGACCCTGATGCTGGGAAAGATGGAGGGCCCAAGGAGAAGGGGACGACAGAGGACGAGATGGTTGGACAGTGTTCTCGAAGCTACCAGCATGAGTTTGACCAAACTGCGGGAGGCAGTGGAAGACAGGAGTGCCTGGCGTGCTCTGGTCCATGGGGTCATGAAGAGTCGGACAAGACTAAATGACTAAACAATTATTATTATTATTATTATTATTATTATTAACTCTTCCCTGAACCCCTTCATGCAGAGGAAAGTCAGTAGTGTGTGTCTGTGCATATAAGCTACCTGCCTGTTGTCATTGTTTTGAGCATCTGCTAATGTTCTGTTCTATACCAGACTGGAGCCCATGGGAGTTTACCAGCTAAGGATGGCAGCAGTCCAGGATTGACTGGAGACATTCAGGACCATGGACAGATCACTATGACACCTGGTTTCAAGGTCAAGTTGAGGGGAAGGCCAGACACAGAGCTTTGAAGTGGTGCTCCAGCAATAGTCTGGAGTCAGCCATGAGCTTGTGTAGTGGTACAGAGAAACAAGTAATTTATCTCTTTCCTCCTCAAAGGGAAACCGCTGGTGCTTAATTTTTCAGGAGCATGTTTCAGTGGAGTTGGAAAGCTTCCTGCTGCCTCTGGGCACGTTAGTTCAGGTGATAAGTTCTGTGGGTCAGAGTAGCAGGGCAGAGTTACTTCCTCAAGCAAAGAGTATGGAGGCAACACTGGCTGCAGCACATTCCCTTCTATAAGAGGCACTTGCCAGAGCATTTGCTTCAGGGATGGTCTCCAGGGATGGATCCTGAATGCAGCTGGGTGACCTTGGGCTAGTCACAGTTCTCTGAAATCTCTCAGCCCCACTCACCTCACAGAGTGTTTGTTGTGGGGGAGGAAGGAAAAGGAGATTGTTAGCCGCTTTGAGACTCCTTAGGGTAGTGATAAAGCGGGATATCAAATCCAAACTCCTCCTCCTCCTCCGCCTCCTCTTCTTCTTCTTCTTGCTGGAAAACCCTTCCAGTGCACCTCAGAGTCTTTGAGAAGTCTGAAAACTATAGCAAAAGAATGGAAAATTAACAGCCTTAGAATGTGTGGCAGTTGCTCACAGGAATATGACAAGGAATGCCCACAGAATGATCCCAAACAATGCTGGCTTCAAGGTTTTGACCTCCTTGACCAAGGCAACATCACTTGTCCCTCTTAATCTGGATATGGTTGGGTATGTGAACTGAAAGTTATCTCACACCACTTTGCTCAGTGGAATGGTGGAATGGGTCCTTGGAGCCTGGGCAAATGCCCAAATTTACCTTCCCCTGATTCAAGCTAGACAGCAACATAAAACATACAGTTGTAGCCTTACGCTTCAGGGCCTTCTCTGTGGTGGTTCCTAGGTTATATAATGTTCTCCTCTCCATGGTACATCTTGGGCAATTATTGAAAAGCATATGATGATAGCGCAAGACACACTATCTTTAGATGAGTGGCTGTTTTCCGTCCTGCTCTGTGTTACTATTCTGTAAGTTTTATTTTGGCTGGTTCTGCGGTTTTTAATTGTCTGATTCGAACAATGCTTTATCTTGCTTTTAATAGCGATGTTTTTCTAACCTGCCCTGGGACTATTCAGTGCAGGCTACCCATATAAATAAAGGAATAATATCCACGAAACTTGTAAAAAGTGTTGGTCAGGGCGGTTTTCTTCGCATCCTTTGTTTGCACATCAGAGGCTTGAAATGCAGCCCAGATTTCTTGAGATTGTTAACAGTGAGATTCTCAACAGGCAGAGCACCGTCCGAAGACAAACCAACCTTTGCTCTTACGCCCACGAATTCAGCACATCCTCATTCCATTTGCCTTTCCTGTTTGCAAAAATTCTTAAAATGCATCTTCAAGCTCCATCTCTGTCTCCCTTTTACTGAGAAACCACACCAGATATGGAAACAGCTCATCCACATGCTCAGCTCTAAGCAGAGGTTAAATGGCCGTCTGTCATGGATGCTTTAGCTGAGATTCTTGCATTGCAGGGGGTTGGACTAGATGACCCGTGGGTCCCTTCCAACTCTACAATTCTATGGTTCTATGAGGCATGGGGCCTGTTTTTTCAGAGCAGATGGAGTACACAAGGGTGAGTGTGATAAAATCCTTCCCTTGCCTGTTGCTCACCTCCTTACAGGCCGTCTGTGGTCCCTTCCCCATACACCTTTCTCCTCTGCTAGGTTCCACTGCCAGACATTGACTCAGCTGAGAGAAAAGGAATTTGGGGAAGAGGCTACAGGACCCTTCCTCAACCTGGTGCCCTCAGATGCTTCAGACTACAACTCCCATCAGCTGCAGCCAGCCTGGTCAATGGTCAGGGGTGATGGGAGCACAGGGCAGGATTAATCATTAAGCAAAATAAGCACATCAAAGGAAGGAGGGCACCACAGAAAATTTCCATTGCCAGATTTTTAATATTAACGGTCACAAATTGTTCAGCTGAGCATTCATCTTCTCAGCTGAAGCATATTAAAAATCCCAACAGAACAAATGTGCAGCAAGGCAGGGCTGGGTGACTTATTTCTGCTAAGTACAGAAGCAGATATGTTACGTAAGATTCATTTTGAGGATCTGATCAAAGACCTTGCAATTAGAAAAAGTAGGAGAAAATTCTTCAAATATAGTGGAAGCATACAAAAATAGATATTATTTTTCCATCTTACTGTAGGTTTTGTTTCATTTCGAAAAATTAAATTTTATTTTACGATTTATTATTGTTTATACAGTGGTACCTCAGTTTTTCGAGCATCTCAGAAGCCAAATGTTTCGGTTTTCGAATGCTGAAAACCCGGAAGAATTTGCTTTCATTTTTGAATGCTTTTCAGAAGTCAAATGGCTTCCGCTGCTGGGTCCCCCCCCCCCATTTTCCCCATTGACTTTGCTGACCCCACTTTGCTCCTCAGTTGTTGAACCATTCGGAAGACAAATGGTCTTCCAGAATGGATTACGTTTGACAACCGAGGTACCAATGTATTTTGAATTACAGTGGTACCTTGGTTTGCAACCGTTTTGGATTACAACCATGTCAAACCCTGAAGTGTGTGTCCCTTTTTTTGGATTACAACCCCCCCCTTTTTTTTTTTGAGGCCCCAATGGTGAAAGTGCGCCTTGGGTTACAACCTGCTTTGGTTTACACCCGGACCTCCGGAACGGATTATGGTTGTAAACCAAGGTATCACTGTATATATATATATGGGGGGCACCAAAATCTTTAAGTGTTTAGGGCTTCTAAAAGTCTTAATCTGGCCCTGTGGGAGTAGCAATCCAAAACTTAGGGAGGCCACCAATTTGGGAAATGCTGGGTTATGAGGAAGGGGCATGTGGGGAGGTTGCAGCTGCCCTCACTTTTGTGCTTCTGGTCTTCTCCTCCAAAAATCATATTCATACATCTCTTCTTATGCTCTTGGAGCATACCCAGTTTAAAACCAATGGGTTTGCTGCTGTCATGCCTAGTTTGGAAAAGAGCTTGAAATCTGGCTTGCAGCCAACCACAGTCGGTTGATTGCCATCCTGGCCGGCATACAGCCCTGGTCTGCCTGCCCCATCTGCTTCTCATAAGCTTCCTGAATCCTCTTTGCAGCAAAGACAGCTCTGCACCTGAAGTTCTGGACGGACTTCAGTTGCATGGCTGTTCCAAGCGTCCGGTATTTTATTAGCCTTATTAAAGCATGAATGTCAATTAGGTTTGTCTTTTCTTTTCGCTTTCTCCCATCCATCGGGAAACTATCACGAGAGAAGGAGAGGGATGAAGTAGTCGAAGGACTTCAAATACATGTGTCCTAGTTAAGCAAGACTTCCACTGTGATCTAATCAACTGCTCCAAAATGAAAATCATTTAAAAAAAAAAAAAAGCCAAGTTGCTAAAAGCCAGCTAAGTGTGATGGCTAAGAAGGAAGGTAGCATTGAAAACAAACAAACAAACAAAAACAAAAACAAGTTCCATTTCTGAGTTTGGCCAAGGCTTTTGAACTTTTTAGAAGATGTTGAAAATATTTTTTGTATTTGCTTGTGTTTTCTCTTAACAACATTGAAAAGCAGTCTGCCAGACAGAATGCTAGAAAACTGTAATTAAAGCCATGAATAAATATGAGCTTCTTCCCCCGCAAATTATTTCCAAGAATGTGAGCACAATTTGACTTAATAATTCAGAAGTACAATCTTCCATGTACATAGAATGTGGTATGTATGTTACCAAAAGGTGAAGACAGATCAACTTCTTAAATGAGATGGAAGTAGTCTGAGCACATTCATTTTCTGCCCTGAACAAAACTCTTTGAAGTTTCGAACTCAGAACCACATCCACAACCCTGTAGAATGTCTGCCGGTCTCATAAGCCTCATATATATTAATAGGGACATATCCAATCAGAGGAAGGCTCTTGTTTTTTCAGTTTTACAAAGAACACTGAGATGGCCCTCAACAGGTGGGCAAATTTAAAGAAACACATTTCGGTCCAAGCACACCTTAGAACAAAGTAACATGATTGGCAATCACCAATCATTAATCACACATTTGTGAGGATCATGAGCTGTAGGTTCTGCACATGTTTGCTGATGTTCTTTTAATGTAAAGGTGACAAGCAGAAAGTTCACATTTGCAGAGAAACCAAACTGCTTGTTTGTACTACCAACTTTACTGTATGCTTGTGAAACATGGACCACTTATAAACGCCATTTCCAACTCCTCAAAAGATTCCTTCAACAGTGTCTCCAAAAAATTTTACACATCACTTGGGAAGGCAGGCAAACTAATGTCAGTGTACTGGAAGAAGCAAAGGTCACCAGTGTCGAAGCAATGATTCTTTAACATCTACTTCGTTGGACTGGTCATGTTGTTTGGATGCCTAATTATCACCTTCCAAAGCATCTACTGTATTCCCAACTTAAGAATAGAAAGCAAAATACTGGTGGACAACAAAAGAACTTTAAAGATGTTCTCAAGGCAAATCTTTTAAAAATGTAGTTTATGCACTGATAAATGGGAAACACTAGCCTGCGAGCGCTCCAACTGGAGAACAGCCCTTACCAAAGGTGCCATGGACTTTGAAGAAGCAGGAACTCAGGGTGAAAAGAATAAACAAGCTAAGAGGAAGGCGTATTTGGTTAAACCTCACCGTGATCAACTCCCGCCTGGAAACCTATGTCCCCACTGTGGAAGGACATGTGGATCCAGAATGGCCTCCACAGTCAGACTGCTAAGACCGCGTTCATGGAAGACAAACTTACTCGGCTACGAGTGATCACCAAAGAAGAAGAAGGCAAGCAGAAAGTTCTCCAGATGTTATTGGAGTCCAACTCCTACTAGGCAGAGCCAGCATAACAAATGGTGTTATGACTCTGGACCAGGACTTGTCAGAGACAGAGTCTTCCAGCAACTACAGCCCAAGAAAGAGATAGATCTGCTCCCCGGTCTGTCCCTTGTGGGTCTGCAAACCCCTGAGTCTCCCTTACTCCCTTGATCTCTGACTCATGGGAAGCTGTCTTACATCTGTTGAGGCTACATACCCATCTTCCCCAGTGTTGTCATCTCAGACTGGCAGTGGCTGTCCAGGGTCTCAGGCAGAATCTACTCCATCGCTTGATACCTGTTCCTTTAACAGAAGGTGCCTACATGGAATCTTCTGCATGCAAGGTATGCGCTCTACCATTGAAATGTGGCTGCTCACCATAGAAGGCCTTTACTCAAATGAAGCTCCAGGACATAGTCCTTGAGGTGACTTCTGTGAAACCACTCATGTGGCTGAAAACTACATCATGAGATGTTGCACAATGGATGAACAGGCTGCCAGCCCAGCCACCCTTCTAAATTATTATTATTATTTACCGCTTTATCTACTTAGGTAGATTTCTTTCCCCTGGGAATGAATCACATCCAATTTCATTCCCGATTTAAGTAACTCACAGAGATGGGGGGTTGGGTTGTAAGATATCAGTGGTGTCCAGTTAAAAATGGGATATATGAACCGTTTCCCTCATTTTTTAAAAGAAGGTTCCTCTGTAGTTTCAAAGGCGTATTCATCTTCTGTAACTAAGACTCAGCTCCTATTGGAAGTGACGCAGTCCTAAAATAGACGTGGAGCAAAAGTTTTGCCATTTGAGATTTTTGCAAGGATAATATGCCTTCTGGAACATCTTCTGGCAGAAAGCCTCTCACAGCAAGGCCTTCGCTAGCACGGGGGGGGGGGGGGGAGCATGCGCGCATTTCCTGAGGAGAAAATGTCATCTTTTCCCTGGAGGAACCGGTGCCATTTTTCATCGTGAAAAACAACTCTTGCCTTTTTTCATTTTGTAAAAAATGTTAAGTTTTAACTCGCAGGTGTCTTCAAAAGTGGAGTCTTACATTCGTGTGTGTCAGGCAGGATGTGAAGGGCTCTGTGTTAGTGGAGAGTTTTTAAATACAGTGGTACCTCGGGTTACATACGCTTCAGGTTACATACACTTCAGATTACAGACTCTGCTAACCCAGAAATATTACGTCAGGTTAAGAAGTTTGCTTCAGGATGAGAACAGAAATCATGCAGCGGCAGCAGGAGGCCCCATTAGCTAAAGTGCTGCTTCAGGTTAAGAACGGACCTCCAGAACAAATTAAGTACATAACCCGAGGTACCACTGTATATAGATGCAATCACAACCAGATTTTTTTTTAAAAAAAATTGTAAACCTTGTTAAAGGTTCGACAGAATGAAGAATGAGGACAGAGGGTGGGGTGGCAGGAATTGGTTGCCAACGCAGGCGTTGGTTTGGCTACGGGAGCAACCTGAAGAGGTACAAAATCGTGGCAGGAAGCCTGCTGTGAAAAGGCACTCGCTGTGGCCCCATCTGCACTAAACATTGAAAGCATTATCACACCACTTTAAACAGACATGGCTCGCCCCAAAGGAACATGGGAGCTCTGTTTTGTTAAGGGTGTTGAGAATTGTTTGGAGACACCCCTATTCCCTTCACACAGCTACAATTCTCGGTGGTTTAACAGTCACTACCTATTCCCAGGGAATATTGAGAATTGTAGCTCTCTGAGCGGAATAGAAACCTCCTAACAACTCTCAGTTTACATAGAATTGTAGCAGTTGGAAGGGATCCCCAGGGTCATCTAGCCTAGTCCCTGCAATGCAGGAATCACAGCTAAAGAATCCCTGACAGATGGCCACCCAACCTCTGCTGAGAAACCTCCAGCGAAGGAGAGTCCATCACTTCCCAAGGGAGTCTGTTCCATTATCAAACAGTTCTTACCGTCAGAAAGGTCTTACTGATGTTTAGCCAGAATCTCCTTTCTTGTGATTTAAATGCAGTGGTTCAGGTCCTACCCTCTGGAGCAGCTATAAACAAGCTTACTGCATCTTCCCTGTTACAGCCCTTTAGATATTTGAAGATGGCATCGTATCTTCTCTCAGTCTTCTCTTTCCCAGATTAAACATACCCAACTCCCTCAATCATTCCTCATAAGGCTTGCTTTCCTTTATCATCTCCAGCTTATCAATATCCTTCTTAAACTATGGCGCCCAGAAGTGGACACAGTAGTCCAGGTGGGATCTGACCAAGGCAGAGTACAACAGTACTATTACTTTCCTTGAACTGGATACTACACTTCTGTTGATGTAGCCTAGAATTGCATTACCTTCCTGCTCCCCCTCTTGCATCACACTGTTGACTCATGTCAAGATTGTGGTCTACTAAGACATCTAGATCCTTTTCAGATGTACTGCTGTTAAGCCCATGTGTTCCCCATTCTATATTTGTGCATCTCATTATTCCTACCTAAGTGCAGAAGCTTACATTTGTCCCAATTGAAATTCATTTTGTTAGTTTGGGCCCAGTTCTCCAATCTGCTGAGGTCATTTTGAATCCTGATTCTATCTTCTGCATTACTAGCTACCCCTTGCAATTTGGTGTCATCTGCAAATTTGAACATTTGCAAATTCCCTTCATCCAAGTCATTTATAAAGATGTTGAATAGCACTGGGCTCAGGACAGGACCCTGTGGCACCTCACTTGCCACTTTCCCCCAGAGTGATGAGAAACCACTGGTGAGCACTCATTCAGTTTGGTCAGTTGACCAGTTTCAAACCCACTTAATAACATTATTTAGCCTACAGTTTACCAGCTTCTCCACAAGAATGACCGCTCCCCGCTTAAAACGGGGGGCGCCCTTTGTTGGGATACTGCCAGGGAGACAAAGTCCATCATGACTCCACGTCGCCTCCGGACGTCCATCGATCTCCCATAGATACAGTATCAGCAATTAGCGACACGAGGTCCAGAAATAGCTTGCCACATTCCAGAGCTCATGCACGCTCTATCAGCAGAATTCACACAGCGAAAGATGCACGCAGGAGAGCATTATTTACAAGTTTATTCAGCGTTGGTCAGAACAAAGAAAACATGACTGCCTGCTTTGGTGTCTCAGGCACAGAGAGTAACGAAAGCAATAGACAAAACATAAACTTCCTGTGAACAGGAAATACGCACACTCTGTGACTCACAAAGCCTGCTCCCTTTTAAGGTGGAACAGAAATATCCTAACACCCTTTGCATGGACGCGCGCAGCCCCTAGATCTGGAGCGGCTCCATCAGCATAGGCTTGGCTTTGCCTTCCCTCAGGTGGGATACCTGGAGGTCTCCGCCTACCTCAGTCAGTTGTCCAATCCTACCCGGGGAAGCGTTGCCAAGGAAACCAGGCCAGGTAGGGGAGGGATTACCTGCCCACACAATAGAGGGAG